GGTCATCTTCTGGTCCAGCTTTTCATGTGCAGTCCTCTTATAAAATTCACAAGTTAGTAGAATCAAACTATGTATTAGCTTCTTGCATGAGAGGTTTTTATTCTTATGACCCTGTTTCGGTGAGCTGCTGACCCTAACAGCACTCCACTGCAGTATCCAACAGTACTAAGTATAAATTCCATGAATCTTCTGAGGGTTTTTAGCAGGATCTTGCTTCTTCCACTGTCTGTTTTGCTACACCTTTTACCTCTGCACATGCTACGAGTGATCATGTAAAGCATGTTTGTTTTATTTTGCTCACAGAGAGAGAGAGGATGGATGTGAAAGCAGTTAGCAAAATTTATGCTCATCTTGTTCAGTGCTTTTTCACTTGAGAAGAGTCTTACTTGGAAAAATTAGCTATCAGTCATATTTATTGTTTACAGAAAGCTTTTGAATTTCACCATAGAGAAATTACTAGGACTTAGTAAATGCCTTTTCTCTGCTTCTGAAATTCCATTTTAATGAGTTATAAGCCCATTGTTCACTGTTTCTTGCACAGTCAGTGTGACTCTGGTTGGTGTATCCAAATACCTCAACATAAACATTCTTAGTGAGGACTGAGTCATATGTCTACCAAAGCAACAGCAATAACTTTCAAAAACAGAGCAGTAAACAAACTCTAACTTGGTTGTAAGTTTTTACTTATCTGATGCAATTTTTCCATATCGTTAAGTCCGTGTGGATGGATGGTAATGAAATAGCCATTAAACACGTTTGCTGTTAGTACACAGCTTGTGATTCCTGCATGTCTGCAAACCTCCTGGTTTTTGATACAGATTAACTTTGATTCTTCCATTATGTTTTCTTTAGGAGGAGGGATCCAGGTGCTAAAAAGTATATTGTCATCAACTAGAGAAGGCAAGGAAGAGCCAGGTGCTTTCACTTGTGATAAGATGACATTTATTTGTTGTCTGCTATTACTCCATCTTCTGCATAATTAAAATAGCTGATTCCACAAATTTAAAACAGCAAATGCCCTCAGCCTTCCACTAGTTCTCAAAAACTTAGTTTTCCAAAACATCGTCCATGGGTAAGGATGTTCTGTAGTAGTTCTATTGGCTTCATAGGAAAAGGTCCTAGACTAGGAAGAGAAAGTGTTTGAGGGTATTTCAGCTCAGGGATTGTGATGAATGTTGTCTTTAATTCTCTAAGGCTGGACAAAGCTTAGAGGATAACTCAATAGTATGTAGGATTGTTTGTCTGTTCGAGATAGGTGAAACGTATCTGGATGAGGTGCAGGGAAGGGAGCCCTGCTGAAAGGAGGTTGGAGAGCCTGTTGTACAAGAGTTGACCAAATGAATTTAGCTTGTGTAGTCTAGTAAGACCGATTACTATCTATAAATACAGTAGTGGGATAAAGGAGAGTGAAGCACTGTTAAAGTCAAAAGAAAAAAAAAAAGGTAAAGCACCTGTAAATATGTCTGTTCTAGATAGGAGAAAGTGTTATCCAAAACCTTCCTGTTCCAGTTCTGGGAACAGGAAACCTTACTTCCTTACGCTTTGTAAACTAATGGAGAGAATTTTACAATTTGATAACCTGTTGCAGGTGGGGTTTGCAACTTATAATTCAGTCTTTAATTTGAGGGATTTATGACTATATTTTATTACAGCTCCCTGGGAGAAGTTGCATTTTTGCCACTTTACAAATGGGGGAAAATGAAATGATAGGCCTTGTCTGATGCCATGCATTTGGAAAGAGAGACAGAAAAACTGGAAAGTGAGGCCATCCTAGTTCTATTCTAGTGTTGTTGCCAATAGGAAACAGTGTCTTGTTTTTAGATGTATTTGTCATCCAGCAAGAAAACTGCAACCAGACTATACGGGTCACCTGTCTCAATTTCTAAACGTTAGACTGCGGGCATCTTTCACTGAGGAGCCAGAGCACTAGCCCAGAAATAAGTCGCTGCCAACTGATGTTTTAAAGGATTTAAAGGACAGGTACTGGAATTGTTGTTACATAGCAGTTTTTAAATATCCTGAATTTTAGAAGCCTTCATAGGCCAAATCATGCTAGATCATTAGTCTGTTGTAGTAGATTCAGTGAAGCTACTTATCTCTTAATCAAGACTTTAGGTCTTAACTTTTTAACATTAAATATTCTAATAACACTTCAGCATCCTTACAGAGTTGCTTGCAAAGCTATAGAACTATACAGCATTCTGTTTTAACATTTCTAAAAAGAAGTTCTTCTTTTATTTGGTTCTTGAATTTCTCCCCATTGGAGTTTAATGTTGCTGAACTGTGTGGGAACTAATCATGAGGACAGTCTGTAAAACTTCCAGAGACACTTTAGTAAAACTGTGCTAAAGGCCATCAGTGATGCTGACTAAACATAGTACTATAGACGTAGCATTGTCTTGTTTTCAGTCCAAACCTTTCATATTCTTTTAGCCCTTCGCAGGTGTCAGAGATGCATTTCTGTAACTGAGGTTTCTTGGATATGTTATAACTGAATGGAATGTTTTGGCAGCTGATAAAAGTTTGGGGGTTTAACTGGTTTCGTGATGTTATCAGTCTTCAAATTTAATGTAATAAAATATATTGTGGTCTTGTATTCTTAATATATCTAAATCAGAAAGGACTGATTTATGTTATTCTGTATGGAAACTGGTGGTGCAGTGGGAATTTTAATGAGTATATGTGACCACTGAGATAAAATACACTACCTATGGCTTAGGAAATTTTTAACTATGAATTGTTGGAAGGTCAGAAGAGTAGTCGGGGGAGATGCTAGGAATGCTAGGACACACTTGCATTTCTTTTTTTTCTTTTGCTGTTTCCTAGGCATCTGCTTCTGGACACTGTAAGAGTCAGTGTTCTGGGCTAGGAGGAGCTTTGGCGTGATTTAGTGGAATTAGTCTGTTATATGGGTAAAGAATTCTGCAGTATTACCTGAACTTTTCAGTAGTTAATTTATTACGTTGTCTGACTGATACAACTTCGTGATCATTTTAGGTGGTTTCATTGCTGATATACAGAAAAGTCCATATTCCTCAAAACAAGCTTGTGTATGTGCTTCATATCGTTAGTCTTTTCTGGATGTTTTTTTTTAAAGACTGCAAAGACTACCTCATTGCTCTTCAACCTGCCTTAAAATAAATATATAGTAAAACAAAACATGGGAGACTTCAGCTTAAAAAGAAAAGCTGCAAAATGTGGAGACTGACTTGCCAGATTACATTCACAGAGAATGGAAATATATTAGTAACCTTTGTGTTTGCCTAAAATCTTATTGGTTTTACTGTTTGTTTTTGTAGCACTAAATTAACACTATGGCTTTCCAGCTCACTTGAATATGCAGCAGCACATGCTGTGCTGATGTTCATTTCACTCAAGTTCACTTCTAGAAACCTTTCAGTGAAAATATGTTTAATGAAACAAACACAAGTAGGTGGCAATTGGTTAAACACTTCAATTAAGATCTACTCTTTGGGGGGGGGGGTTATTATTTTTTATCCAACTAGTGCTCCTATATTCTGCTCCTTACAACAGTCAAGGCTCTGAGTTAAATTAGCCATTGAAGAATTTGATTGGGCTTTACCAGTATTGTTGACAAACATTTTAATTAGCTTACTGGATTTCTAAAGACAGCACAAGTTCTTTCGTTATGCTTGTCTCTTCTTTGAGGTTTATTTTACATTTTTGTATACTTCTAAACAAGTTACGCTGCCGGGCTTGGATATCTGAATTATTATGCTGTGCACATGAGGATGTATGTGTTATATAGAGATAGGGACTGATGGCATTTGTACAAGTGACCAGTAAGGAGTATTTCAAGTGTCAGTTTGACTCAAAGCAAATACTCTCTCTCCAGAAGGTTTGTTTCTAAAATAAGTATTACTCTATCAAATGTATTTCTGCTCTTTTTGGCTGTGATACTTTTGGGGTTTTTATTTTTTTAAACAAAAATACTCATGAGTTTAGCAGACCTCACAGTGAGCTTGATGTACAGTATATTTAACTTTTCAAACTTAACATTGTGCTCTGTTGAAATGTAAAGGTTGTGGCTGAGAGGCCAGCTGCTGTTGTGTTTTTTTTTTAATTACTGAATTGCAAAGGTTAGAGAGTTCAAGTGAGATAGAAGGTATGGAAGATCAGAGTTCTGTTTCTGCAGAAGCTAGCAGGTTTCACATCAGAGCTTAGTTAACTTCTTGCTTACTTACATGCTTTAAATAAAAAAGTCAAGTCAGCCTGCACTGCTGGTATCCTGCTGCTGATGCAACACTAGTTTTTTGGAAATTTCAGTTGGTTCTGTAGTTCTGGAGCTAGTGGTAACACAGCTTTACAAGCAAAGCCGAGTTCCCTGCAGGTTTCACTGGATAATGAAGACTTAACCTCTTGCTCAATCACAAGAACACTTCAATGAAGAATAGGCACAGTCATACTGAAGGCTTAATTTTCTTGAAGTTTTATGGTTACTTTAAAACTGTTCTTTGTGTAGGCTCTTATGTGGTTTGCATGAGATAGTTCAACTCAGCCCAAAGCAATTTTTAAAAACTATATAGTTATGAATTTCTAAGATGATGATGAATGGGTTCCTTATAACTAGCTTTATCTGTTGCATGTGAATAAATTGCATGAGTAAGAAAAATAGCAGTAAAACGATTACTGAACCTAGTAAAACTGGAATTTAATAGTTGGAGCTCTTTCTCCTTAAAGAAAGCAAAGAATGAAACTTACTGCCATCCAATTGTAAAAGAATTTTTGCCCTTTTAGCAACCTGAAGGTATTGCAGTAAGGCAACAAGCTATATTTCTGTCTTATAAATGACCTTATGAATGATACACGAGAGCGTATATAAACTTAGATTGAAAGCTTACAAAATGATGGAAATGTAAGGGCAAAATAAGTTAATAGTTCCTTTTTAAAAAAACCTACAAAATCTATTACATTTTTTTATTAAGGGAAACAAAGTAAGTTAGGTGGAATATATTTTGTTTGTCTCTTTTGTTTTCAAGGTTTGGCTTGAGCAACAAGTTTGATACAGAATTTCCTTCTGTTCTGACAGGGAAGGTAAGTGTGAGATTAAACTGTTCTTTTACATGGAAAGATCCAGTGCATCCAGTGGTTTCTGTGTTACAAATACGTGCTCATGACCCCACAGTGCAGTCCAGCACTGCACTGAAGACTGTCAAATTAAATCTGTCCTGTACGAACTAGCTGGTTGATGACCAGTCACTAAAGTGTTCTTTGAAACAAGAAAAAATTATGTGCAGTCATTGCTATCATTATTGGCATTCTAAACACAGAACAGCTCAACGTGGCATCACACTGTTTTCATGCAGGCAATCTACATGAAAACAAGACTCGCTTAACCTGGCTTCATAGATATCTGGAGTCTGTGCTACCTCCTGTGTGAATTAAATTATTTCGAATACCAGACCTTCTTTTCAATATGTCTGTCAAGCCTTAAGTTTATATTTAGACAGATCTCTGGAGGAGAATCTGTTTTATCTGAATCTTTAAGGAACAAAACATTATAGTGTTAAATCTGCAAGTTAAGTAGGGTTTTAGTACATTTTCAGAAATATAATTGCTTAGTTCTGAAAATTAGTGGTGACAAGTCTCTTGCTTTCTCTGGAGTCCTCTCATCTTACTAAAAGCAAGTTTAATAAATACTCATTTGTAGCTATTAATTAATGAAATCTTGTAACAAAATTATTGGTTTTGATACCAAATTATTTTCATAATTTTTTTTACACTATTAGATTTTTAATTATTTTTCTCTTGGATTTTTTTCTTTCTGCTGTTTCACTCTCTAGTGCTTTTCTTTTGTTTCATTTTATATTGCCTTTGTGTATCTTCCAGAATTTATTTGGCTCTTACTACTTTCTCTAATGTCATACCATACAGCTACACTACCTCTGCAGCCTCTTGCAGTAGCTGTTGAGTCATATTAACAATATACTAAAATGCATCTGGAAGGCGTCTCCTGATTGTGCCAAGTCCATCTGGGGTTTTTCTCCTTCGTTTTCACCCCAGGGTATAATGAATAAAATACTTGTGTTGAATTTGTCCAGCTTTTTTGACAGCAGCACAGTTGAAAAGCAGTTGCTATTTGGAGTTTTTGTTTGTTAAAAGACAGCCTGGGAATTCTGGCCTTGCTTGGGAATCTCACTGAGCTCAAAAGGAAGAGTCTTACTGATCCCACAGTGTCTAATGTGAGGGCTGGAGATAACACTATTTGCATTTCACTACCTTGCATGTCTAAGGTTTATTCTTTTCTGTGAACCTCTTTCTGATCACTGAAAAGCCACAGAATGCTTTTTGGAAATAACAATTTTTATGTTCTTTTAGTTAAGCTGTAGTTTGTCACAAATAAAGCCTATAGAAAATACCTAGCAGGAAATGTTAAAACTTAATTTGATTATATAATTTCATCTCTTTCTGTGTCTCTGAAATACATTTGTGTGTATTAAAAAAACAAAGCAAACCCAACCCCCCAAACCTACACCTTTTAATACGAGCATCGATGCCAGTCACATTTTCATTTTCACTTGATTGTCCTCCTCTTGTTAAACAGACAGTGAACACAAGATTAATTTTAAGTTCAGTTGACTGCTTGGACTTAATTTAGCAAAGAGAGGAAAGAGGAAGTTCTTCTACTTGGCTTCTTGTTCTATAGATGTAATTGGTGACAGCATAAATCACATGAGCAGGGATTTGCTGTATATACGTATGCTGCTTCTGTTGAAATATTGATATCCTGTTATCTTTTTCTCATATGTGGATTTGAGGGGCTTTCTGAGTAAGAAGACCTTGAAAATAAATTAGTTCCCTTTTGTAAGGTAGTAAATGCATTTTTCTTACTGCCTGCCACACACTGCCATGGAAGACATTAAAAACCACAGCTGTGGTTTTTTTTGTGTTTAATACTTTCATGAATTGCAAGAAATAAATCTTCTTCCCCTGGTTGTGGCAGTCAGACACCTTCATCCCTATTGAAAATGAAAACTTGGTCAGGTTTTTCCAGTAATTAGATTTTCTTCAAATACCCTGATAAATAATTCACAGTAATAAGTGTGGTAGTCAATTGATACACCACTCTAAGATCTTTTACTGTTCTTAAAATACAAATTTTCACTTTTTATGACATCACAATTTATGAATAGCATAGTGACTGTTTATATTGAAATGTTTACTGTGAACAGCTAGTGTAAGGCAATGTTATACTTTATTCAGAATGTCTGTGTAACACTAAGTTTAATGGCTTTGTTGTCTACTGGGGATTGATATTAATAATATATCCCATCTGCTAATGGAGTGTAAAAGATGAAGCCATTAGGTGGGGTTGATAGATTTCTCTGGGGCATTGTTTTTCTTTTTGATAGACACAGATGAAGATCTAGGGTTTTAAACACAGGATGAAAAACCATGCAATGCACGATAAAAATAAAAAAGCACGAACTTTTTGGATCTATGCTGCTGTGTAGTCTTAAGAATTTGCTTAAGCTTCCTGACCCTCAGTTTGCCCATCTACATAATGATGACAGTAAAGCTTCTACTAACTTTCTTTTTTTTAAAAAAACATGAAATACCTCTCCTCCTTCACCCATCTCCCCGACCTCTTCATCTCCCAGTTCTTACAGTCTGGATGGTTACTGTAAATTAGCCTAGAGTTAAAATGCATGTAATTACATCTTAAATATTTAACTGAGACATATTTGTTGCTTTTTTGGGGGGAGAGGTTAATGTGTATATTTGAGGATAAAACATAAACAATAAAACAATAAAGGAAAGGAAAGTATCAGGTAGGTCAGATGTTGGGCCTAGCCTTGACTTAATATTTATCTTGCAGGATGAGATGCAAGCTTCAGCTGCTTTATAAATACTGAGCTCAGCTTTTGAACAGTACATTCTTTTCAACAGAGTATTGTGAGAAAAGATTTGACTACACTTAGTACAGAGGCAATATTTAACTTTTAATAATGTGATTGGACTTTGGCCTAAATTTAAATTCTGGCTAAATTTAAATTCTATGTGCTACAGTTTTATAGGATTATTAATTCCATTAAAACAAGCATTTAAAAGCTTTTAACAAAATGCTCTCCATGATATATGGCACAATAGCACACACTGCTCCAGGTGACAAGAAAATGATGGAGGCAGTGAACCTTAAGGAAGAAAGTGGAGTTTGCTGCCCTGATGTTAAAACAAAAAGGGTCCTATACAGGGATGACTGTGCAGTGGAGGGAAATGTAAGCCATAAAGTGTGCTCTTGGTATTGTGATCCCATTGCAACATGTGATTGATAGGGTTTGTGATCATGAAGATTGAAAGAGAAAGATCAGGCCTGCTGGGCTTTACTTGCTCTCTTCCTGTGTTTGTAGATTCTCTTGCATCCTGTTGTAAAATATTATGACACCCCCTCCTTTCCTTTTATGTTTGAGGTTTTTTTTCCCTCCCTTAAAGACCTAAAGGGAACTAGTGTCTCTTTACAAGGTGTACTGCACAGCCAGGAGCTAAGTACTTATCTCATTCTTTTTGAGACTCAGAAACTTTCCAGGAGACTTTCCAAAATTACTCAAATCAAAACTTTCTTGGGGAGCTTTCTTTGTGCAAGAGGCGCTGCTAATTCTCTGTTTATTTGAAATGCATTAGTGATCTCATATGAACCTTTCAATATCTATACCTGCAAGAAAAGAGAGATTTAAAATTATGCCAGAAAATAAAAAACATTATTTGGTGACCCTTTCATTTGGATACCATTTTATTATTAAATTAGAACAGTTATTTTTTTTACAGCTATTTCATTCTTTGTCACTGTTTAACAATTCTTAACTGTTATTGAGCTGTAAACTGAGAGCAACAAAACTCTTTTGCTTCTGTTTATCACAGATTGAGGCTTATCTTGATCACCAGTTCCTTTTAGTTTCAAATGAAGATGTGTCATTGACAGAAATATTTATTGTGATTATATTTCCTAAACAGAGAAGTATATCTGATAGTCTAAAACATCTGAATTAATTTCATCTGATGTTGCAGCAAAGAGATTCACCTTTTAACAAATGCGGTGCATTAGCAGGTAGCAGTGGTGCTTTCATAATACTTTACTAAGGTAAACATCATACCAAAATGTCTGAAATAGAAATTTTCTCTGCTTCTTGGTGACATCCAAAGTCGGTTTGTAGTTTAGCCATTTGCAGTGCTGTACTCTACAGGAAGGAGAGTACTTCAGCAGTGTTCTTATGAAGTTGCATCAAACTGTTAACCTGATGGGAACAGTGACTCCCTTAAAAGTAGCACAGAAACAGGGAATCTCACCATCCCAGAGCTTTCTGATTAGGTCACAAGTTTTTCTGCCAGCTGTGATCTAAGAATCTGGCTGACTTATTTTCATGTTGCCTGTCATCACTGATGATAAGGTTTCTTCATGTTAAACTACATTCTAGACTTTGCAATTCCATCGTCTTTGGTAGGTTTGTATAACTCCAATTTTGGGGTTGGAGTGTGTTGTTGTCAAGGTCCAGTACACTTTGTGTCTAATAGAAAAGGAAATGTTCTCTTTTCTTAGAGGGTTCATTGCAAAAGCACTAATGGTGTCAAGCTACATATTTTCATCTTTCAAATAAACAGATAGAATGATACATGTACAAATTGCCAAAGACTTGACTTTGAAGCATGTCTGACAGCAGAAGCTGTTACAGCGTTACTCATACTGCGTACAGCCAAGCCAGTTGTACTTTACTACAAGACTTCCTCCCACACTGAAGATAAAATGGTCTTATTCATGTGCATCTGATATCTGTGGTACCCTAAATACAAGAGCCAGCATTGCCAAAGAGATCTGTAAAACCTTCTGTTTCATTCAGATACATGCAAGTACAGGCTAGTTTTAGACATTACAATGTGATTTTTGTTCTGTTCATTGAAAACATCCCAATACACGGGATTCCTGTGGTTTTTTTGCCGTTTTCTTTTTTTTTTTTTTCCAACTCAGATGTCTGTTGTAAAGTATATTTAAATGTTCATGTTCCAGTCAGACTAAAGAATTTTTTTTTACTTGTTCCATTTGTATATGTAAAAACAATTATAAGAAAGTCCATTTAATGTTGGGTGGGGGGAGGTCTGTATAATTGCAAAATAAATACTTTCTGTGTGCTTACTAATTCTGGCTATAAAATAATAACAATGTTAAATTATGTTCTTATACTACTAACTATAGGCCTGGCTTGTGTACAAACCCAGATGACCTGTCTCTTTACTGCACAGTGATCTGCCAGGAAACAGATGTTGTATTTATTTACTCCCTTTCCTGCAATGGTTTAATGAATTTAGCTCTTGTGAATAGGTGGAGGTAGGAGAATCGGGTCCTCTCCATTTCCTGCCCCATAGTTTTGCTCCTTTGGTGAAAGGAGTCTTTGTCATTAAAGTAAAGCTTTTGTTGTTCATGCCCTTGTTTGCAGAATCAAATGAAGAGTTGGGCTTGCTTGGTTGGAAGGATTATGTAGCAGTTGCACAGCTTTGTATACTGACTAATTATAGGGGTTTTTTTTCTTCAACATGGCAAGTAGTTAGGAACATTATTTTTTTTTTTGTGAGTTTTTGTGTCTGGTCAAGTCTATTGAAGTTGGATCTGATGATTCTGCTTCGTGTGTTCGAATGCTGGATTGTGTTACAGTTAAGAGTGATACCTTGGAGTCAATACCACGAGTCCATGTTTGATTTGTCAGATATTTAGAGTCTGTAGAGAGATGAGGGATTTGGGGTATGTAAATAGGTAAGTGATCTCACTGTTTTGTAAGAAACGTTCTGTTATCAGGGAAAGGAGCTTATTTCTGATAGAAAATGTGGCTTTCTGCTGTAACTCTGCAGTGGCAATATATAAAAAATACTATCTTGAGTAAGTGCTACTGAATATTCCTTGTAATTAAATAAGTTGTTTCCCAACAGCAAGGTTTTATAGCCCTGTACAAGATGCATTTCTTTGCCTTGACTATAATCCAGTATATGTCTTTCCGGGCTTCCCTATTTTAGGAAGCAGCCACAAGTGAAGTTGTGGCCTCATGTCAGTACGGACTACTTTAGGAATTTATTTGTGCACCAGGCACAGTGTAGACTTGCATTGGTATGAAATTAATTTGGATGATATTATCCTTTTTTCTATGTGACACATAAGTGTGTTTACTACGAAGCTGCCCTGTATTTCCTTGGAAACTAGATATCCATCATTCTTCCTTTTTTTTTGGTCAGCGTAGCCAGTGCATATGTTGCACAGCTGTGTCCCACGTCTAGTTTTGTTTGGGACCACTATGTTATCAGGATAATTGATTTATTAATGGTGCAATAAATAAGGATGAGGCTGTTCATCTAAGCGATGTTTAGCTTTTTAATGCAAGTTTTTGCAAAGCATGCATCATAAATGAATTTGTTACAGGAAAGTGACTTTTCATGCTCACTGGGTGACCAGTGTTGTAGAAGACGGGGTCATGTTGGGTAATGGTATTATGTTTCCTTCACATTTTAATCTGTAGAGACAGTTATTGAGAAAATACACCTGTAATGGCTTTCCACTGAAGTTCAGCCCTTCTATTGCAGGTTGCCCCAGAAGAATTCAAGACCAGCATCAGTCGCGTGAACGCCTGTTTACGAAAGAACCTCCCTGTCAATGTAAAATGGCTGCTTTGTGGCTGTCTGTGCTGCTGCTGCACACTGGGCTGTAGCCTATGGCCTGTAGTCTGTCTTAACAAAAGAGTAAGTGCATATGTCATTCTTCGTATTCAATTTATTTCGCAATTATTGATAACATTAAATAATGCTTAATAATGTCATCCCCATTTCAAAACTCTTTGTTTCACTTACATTCAAAAGGTTATTCCATTTTCCTTTCCTTAGAAAATAAAAAAAAAGTTTGTTAATGAAGTAAAAGATCCCAAACTACCAGTTGAATTCATAGGTTTAGGAATAGCTCGTCCCATCTCAGTTTGAAGAACAGGATGGAGTACATAACCTACATTTCCAGAATTTCTAAAGGTCTAAGAATTGAAGTGAATTGAGTGCAAAACTGGACATTGACCTTCAAAGACTGCCTGAACTGGAGTGAAAATTACTTTTCGTCTTAATACACACCCTCCCACACCCCAGAATAAATATTTTTTTAAATTAAAAATACTTTTTTGTATGTAATAGTTACCATAGCATTTCTGAGGTGTGGTTTATTTGACATATTTTACTGTGCTGTTTCTGTTAAGAACAAACAGAAATTTGTTTTCTTAAAGACTTCCCTTTATTTGTCTATTAATTTATTTACTTTCAACTGTTGACAATTCTTGTAATCAGGTCCAAAGTAATAATTCTGAGAAGCACTTTAGCAATATCAGGTAAACATGATTCTAATTACCTCTATGGTTTACATTTAGAATTGATTTATCACAGCAGTAAATGTTTAAGAAATACATAAATAGATATACGGTAATGATATTCTTTGCAGCTACATAGTTTGTAAGACTTGTAGCCATAAAATCTTATTATCCACAAATGTAAATAGTACAATAGGAAAAAAACACTCACACTTGTCAATTTAGTTATAGGAAAAGAAAAAATGTGTTAGAAGTAATCCTTCTGGCATTTCAGAGTTTATGATCTTTAATAAACAAACTGAAAGCAAAAAGACTAGGCATTGCGTTTCAGAGAAAATAAAACAGGAGTGCTTTGCCAAACTTTCCAACCTGCTCAAGAAAATAACAGTTGCATTGACTGGCATTGGGATTCTGGGTAAAAAAAAGATGAAATGCACTAAAGGAATAATATGTTAACTTGTTGAACTGCTAGTCGCTGATGCCTGTATCACTAAAAAGTTACAGGACTTGGTTTAGCTCATTTTAACTGCCTTTATAAGCATTCTTACTGCAGAGGAAGATGTTCAAGATATACAGAGGGAATATTTGCCATTTTAAAACCATATTTAATATTCTTTTGCTAGTGAAAATCTAAATGCGTATGTGATGATGTAGTGTTAATGTAATTCTCAAGGGTACAAATAATATGTACAAAGTAGGAACAGGGAAGATCATGTTCCTTCTGTGGGATGTGTGTATATGTATTAGAGCAATTTGATCACTCTAACAACCACAAATATAAGATGGTTCTTCATTTTCTTGAGGGGGGTTGAACCCAACCAGCAAGTAGGCACCCCCCAGCCACCTTCCCCCCCACAGCAGGATGGGGGAAAGAATCAGAAGGGCAAAAGGAAGAAAAACTGATGTGTTGAGATACAGTTTAATAAGTGAAGGAGAAAAAGGGAAGAAAACCCAAGTGATGCAAAGGCAAATCACCCACCACCTCCCTGCAGTAGACCGACGTGCAGCCTGTCTCTGGGCAGTGGGCTGCTTTGGAAAGAAAAGACCTCAGTTTTATTGCTGAGCATGACGTTACATGGCACGGAATATCCCTTTGGTCAGTGCTGTTCAGCAATAGCTAAAACATTGATGTGGTATCCACACTATTTTAGTTTCACATCTAAAACATAGATCTGATTTTTCTTTTGCTTGGTTCTACTTTTATAAAACTAACCTATTTAAAATTAATCTTAAGCCAGAAATGCAACAGTAAGATTCTTCTGGATGAAGCTGGCTACTGAACCATTTATAATACAGTTTTGACTTACTTTTTAGACTAGAAGATCAATTCAGAAGTTACTAGAATGGGAAAATAACAGACTATATCACAAGGTAAGAAAAGTTAGAGTGCTTGTTTTCTTCAGCTTTAAGAATAGTAAGGTTTTTTTACATAATTGGCATGTAGGAATTTTACAGTCTTGTTATAAAAAATTCCATAATTCATACTGATCTTAAACCTGGGTGTGAAGTGTTCCAGATCCTAATAATTTGATATTGCTAATGCTTGTTACGTTACTTATCAAAACAATGCTGTGGTATGCATTAATCCCTTGATAATTATTTTCTTAGCTTGGTTTGCACTGGAAGCTGAGTAAAAGGAAATGTGAAACTAGCAATATGATGGAATATGTAAGTATTATTTCTGTTACCTATTTGGTATCCAACATTCCTGTGATTTTATAGAGAAAATCCTTCACTTACTGCACTGTTGCCTATCTGAAAAAATCTGTCAGAAAAATGTGCAGTCGTGTTTGACATACACCCGTGAAGGCCACTTTTAACAAGTGCAGCCATGGCATATATTGAGACTTAGAAACTGTCACCACTGAACATGTTTTCTCTTCATAACAATTGTGTTTGCACTGCAGGTATCTTTGTTTTGGTCTGTAATTTGTGATGAGGGAGACCCACGGTGACTCTGTGCATTGGTGTGATTCCCACACGAGTCTATAGTTCTTTTAATGCTTAGCCACCTTTTCCATTGGTATTTATAATTACTTTGATTCAAAATCTTTGTGCAGAAATATTGTATTTTTACAGTAGTGGGGTTTTTTTTTGTCTGTATCTTTTTTCTTTCTTTTTTGCTAGCTCTGAATTTAATCAGGTTTTAACCAAGACAGTCCGTTTAGGACAGCAGAACCTGAAATATTTCTGTAGTCCTACTACTCCCCCATCCACTTTAATGTATAGCTATTAAGAATGCGTAAGCTTGAAGAAAAGAGATAGTCACCCCAAAAGAGTCAAGCATCCAGAAGCCCTGTATTTCAAAATGACTGAAATCTCTGCTTTGTTATTCTGGGGGACATTCCCTCCTTACAGAATATCTCAGATATGTTTAGTCTTATGTACTAGCTAATGTTGCATAGAAATTGTGCTGAAGGTTTGAACTTTTTGGTTACTGTGTTCTGTTCTTGTCTTTTTCCTTCTTCAACAGGTAATATTAATAGAGTTCTTACCAAAATATCCCATATTTCGACCTGACTGAGGAACAGCATTTGATCTTTCATGTTACCTGTCATTTTCTACCCTTAGTGCCTTGTAGATGATTTTGGAAAGAAGATGGTCTACTTTGCTGTGATTTAAAACGTTCTTCAGTAGAATATCTTCCTTGTTATGTTACTTTCTTTTGTTAAGAAGAGAACAATTTGCACATTTTTTTTATGTTCAACAAGGCTTCTATGTTGCACTCTGAATTTTTAACATTAACTGATATAGTTGCCACTAGGGATCTAACATCAGTGCTGCTTAAACTTGTTCTGAGCATGCTGCCTTATTACTTTCTATATTCCTGGTCCTCAAATATGCATCCTAACGCTGTGTCATACTATATTTCATTCTAAATGTCACAATCCTATAAACCCTCAGTAGAAATGTCTAGGTAAGTGTCTAATAGTAATGATTTTAGTATAACTTGCTTGCATAGGACTTGCAATCAACAGCACTGGTTTTGTCCTGCACTTTGCAAAATCATCATTTACATTAGGGGGTTAATTATTTTACCCACTATGGAGTTGTAAATATTGACTCTTTGCATAATGTAAAGTGTGGTATGCCAACGTTTACAGAATGTAATATAGCTCTTACTCTGCTGCCACCAGTCTGGCATCGTTTTATTCATTACATTTGCTAGGATCCCTCTGCCTGTATAGACCCATTCACATGCTGTTTTTATGGTAAAGCCATAATAAGTTTGTACGTACTATGAGATGTGTAGGGCTCAGTTGCACTTTGTTTAGTAAATGGATGAAAAATGCATAGCATGTCTGTCTTTTTTTTTTTTTTTTAAGTATTTCAGGTGTTGTTTGTAGCACCCGAAATAAGAAGCTTAAATACTGTTCACCTTTGAAAAAGTTGCATTTGTGGGGTAGATGGCAGCTGCTATTAGCAAAGTATCCTAAAGGCTCTTTTTAAGTTATGAATAGATGGATGTCAAGTTTTGGTTTTAAGTAAGGAAAAAAAATGTTTCATAATTTAAGACCTTAATTACCAAGGATTAAAATTTAGAACAGCCAAATCAAAGCTGAAGTAACACTTCCGTTATTTTTGTAGTGTGATAGTCCTTCAACATTTTCACAGTTAAGTGACGCAGCATCCTTTCCAGTGGAAATAAAATTTATCTACATCAGAGCAGTGTTTCAAAATATCCTGATGGGAGGAAGTTGAAAGGGTTCATGAATATATTTTGGCGGTCAGGCGTAGTCTGAAGAGCCACAAATGCCTTGTGGAATTCACTATTTTTGGATTCTTCCCTGTTTGCCTGATACCAGGAGGGGAAGTAATTGTAGAAAAACTTCCTGTAATGGCTGGCTTAAGCAAGACCACTTGATAACAGTAAGCAAATGAAAATTCATACAAGTTCCCTCCCTTTCCTAACTAGAAATAAGAAACCAGAGAGAAAAAAACAGCAGATGACTGAGTTTCTGCAAGTTGTCGTGAATATCCTAAGCGTTCAGGCCTTTCTTTGCAACAACTTGACTCCTTGTGGCTTCATCCCAAATTGCTTTTTAGTTTCAGGGTGACTTGGGATTTCCTCTGAATGTGTTTGCATATTTTCAGTATGCAATATGGTTTTAAAATATAGTATTTGTAAGACTATTGCATTCCAGATTTGTTGTACGCGGTGTTTAGAAGGCCAGTTTTATGCAGGTTGTTACTTCAAGTCAAGTTTTGTGCTATTCTTGCTGTACAGCTGAGGAGTGTTTGCCATAGTTTCCAACCACGAACTGATGCTTCAGATTCTGAAATCTGTACGCTTAGTGCAGAGGTTTCATTTGACTGACAGATTGGTGACAGCTGACTGTCATTGCATTTGTAAGATAATGAGTAAAAAACTACTGTGTTGCTTGAAGCTAATGTTAGCTACACCTTGCAAAACAGATTTCTGTCTATCACAGAACCAGGCAAAGTGTTCTCTCCAATGTGTTTTTTTAGGGTGAGTGTTAACTGGAAGCAGAGAAAATACTTAATGTCAAAAAAAGGCAGTGGTAAACCAAAACTGAAATAGCATACCCAATTCTATATACTTCCCTTACAAATAAGTTTATGGAATAAATGAAGGGAGCTTAGCTTAATTAAAAGAACAATGGAAGTTTCTTACTGTTAGGCTAGAACTTTGTTAGTGATTTTCCTTTTTTTGTGTAAGAAACTCAAGAAATCTCAGCAGGTTCTTATTTTCTTCATGTGCCTGTATTTTCAAAATGTTCTTTTCCAACTGAGAGAGAACAGGCAAGCCAAATGAGAGTTCTAGTAATTGCCAGTGGTGGATGCTGAGCAGTCTTCAGTCTTGCTGCTAACAGAAATCCACTTCCGTCTGTGCTGACTCCATCATATTCAGTTCAAAACTTCTCAACCTGATTTGCCTTGTTTCTGTGAAGTGCTGTGCCAAGCTGGGAGAGTATCCTGAGCTACAGGAACCCCCAGTCCCTCTGGGCTGCTCGCTGGCCACCCCGTGCTGCGACATGACCAGAGATCCAGGGCAGAACAAGATCTCTGCTTCGCTTTCCCAACCTCATCCCTTTGTCCCCTTCCCATGGCTTGGCCACGTCCAGTGCTTCAGGCTGCTCTGCCCACAGCAAACTGTCTGCCCCTGGTCTCTCCCAGGCACCACAAGACACTTAAGCACAGAATATTAGTTCTTAAAGTTTACATTTTAAGTATGTAAATTCTATATGGTTTACTTTGTCCTTAATTGTTAATTGTATAGTCTTCAAACCATGAAAGGGTCTCTTCTTTTTGTGTGTTAATAGACATTTAAATGTGTGGCCATAAAGCAACTAGTAAAGCATATGAGAGCCAAAACTGACATTTACAGTAAGCTCCATGTTTTAATAAGTAGATAAATTTGCATTAAAATGCAAAACCAGCACACAGTGTTATATTTGCATCTGAAAGACACAAGTTCTGTAGCTCATTTAAAGAGGAAGGCAGCTGTAGGTACTGCTGTGAACTCTGTGCAATTCTGTTTTGCCTACAGGTTCTTTTTTGCCTGGGCTATCCTTTGCTTTAATATAAAAACATTCAGCAGGTAATTATATCTCATGAGACTGAAATTCTCATTTTGACAGTATTTTTAATTGGTAAACTATTTATGCAGGATATTTGTTAATTGGAGAAAGAATTTGTAGCAATATAACAGAGATAAATGCTAGCAAAGTGTAGTAGAAGTGGTAAAGAAAGTGCCTTGTCTGGTTCCAACAAAATAGAAAACATTGTGCAGAGAGTAAGGCAAAAAGGGAACTCGTAACTATCAGTAGTGTGAATTTGCAGATTTTTCAAAAGCAGTTACTGTCTACCAAGTCAATGTTTAATTTTTCATAAAAACATGTTGACACTTTCTAGTTTTTATCTAGGAAATATTTGGTTTTGTATCTGTAAGTTTTTCTATCTAAAGAGTACTGAAGTATTAAAGAATACTGGCAGAGCATCAAAGCTCTTGCCTACTGATTCCTCACCTGCATCTGTGAAGTTGTTTTACTACAGAAGGAAAAAAAAAAAAAAGTGTTCCAAGACATGCACAGACAAGTCTTGGAAATGTGGATTCGGTTGCAGATGGGTGACTTTAAAACAGAAAACATTTTTGCTAAATCTGGTGTGGTCTCGATAAATAAAAAAAGTTCCTATGTTTTCCTAGATAGGTACAGAGCTTCATATGCAAACACATAAATACCTGTTTATTATTGTCCCACTATGACAGTTTACTACATTTACTTGTCAACACGCTACCACTGGAGCAATAAAAATGTCAAGCAGCAATTAATATTCAATGTAAATGATTTATCATTTTAGCAAGTTAATGTTATATCATTCTTCTGCCTTTTTTTTGTTTCCTGCTTTTGGTGTTTTTATGGTGTTGTAACATTACTTGTACTGCTCAAGAGAAGTGGTTTTGTTTACACTGTCTGAAAGTTTGTGTTCTTAACATTTTTATTCTGTTTACAAGTGAACAGCCACTTTTTTAATAGGACCTCACATCTTGAGAGTTTTATCTTTTTTTTTTAATTAAAATTCTAGCTGAGCTCACTTTCTACAGTTTACGGCACTGGCTTGTGCCATTAAAAGAAGCTGGAAATCAAACATGCTTAATCACTTTGAGACATTTTTCTTTAATTAAATTTAAAGATGAAAACCTTTGAATAGTTCAGTGTGTTTATGGAAAAAAAAAGACATCTTTTGCGTCTCTCCCTGTAGCAGCTGCGAATGGAATGGCAACAGTGGTGGGTTTCCTTTAGATGAGACACATTTCTGATATGGCCAGAGCAGGTGCTCTCTGGGGACTTTAAGCAGGGTTTGGCTGCTTTAAAGAACAAGACTGAGAAAGCTTAGGAAGGCTCCAAAAAAGAAAACTGCAGAATGATCATCACACTTAGTCTTCCAGATAGTTTGGTTGGCTTACAGACCCTCTGTTGTAAGGACTTCTTGTAGGAGTCTCTTGCTGTAGTGTTCCCCTCCGAAAAGCAGAGGGTTTTCTCCTGTGCTATTGTAACTGCACCTCAAAGGGAGCCCAACCTGAGCATGGATAGCCTGTGTTAGCAAAACAAATTATTGGCTGATAGAGAGGATTGGGAACGTAGGGCAGTGTGGCCTTTTGTGTGTGCTAATGGGCTGGCTCTGTATCTGTGAAAGGAGGACTTAAAATTAAAGCCTTTTGCTCATCCCTGAGGCAAAAATACTGCATTCCTGAAACAGGCATGTGCAGTGTTTATGTTGAAAGTTGGTGTCCTCACTTGTTTTGGACAAACACAGGAGCATCTGGGTTGACATGCTGTTTAAGCATGTACCTGTTACTGAATATTGTTTGAGAAATGTAGGGAATTATACTGTGGTGTTAGGCCAAATAGAGGAACACTGAGCTGAGTCATGATGTTAATCCCCATTAGGGTTTTTGAGATGTAATTGCCTAGACTACTAGCAAAAGTCCACTTTCAGACTATTTGGGATTTGGCCCCAACTTCTACTGGAAGGCAACACTGCTCGGTAGTGAAGCTTACTATAATGTCTGTGCCAGTGTATTTATAATGCTATATGTCTGTCATGTCAGTATTGTTCTTTAGCATAAAGAGTTGAAGTGTTCCGGCTGACTTTATTTTTCTAGTTAAGCTTATAGAGACTTAAACCCTCTCAGTCTTCATTTGCTAGACAAGATGAAACATTAGTCTCCTCTCAAAAGCAAGGTTCTCTGTTTCTGATCATCCTGCTTGCATTTATTCCAGTTTGAATTAATTTTCCTTGATTACAGAAACAATCAGATATTCCAGATAATGGCTCATGGGCAAGGCATCAGGTATTTCAAGGTAGATAGTTCTCTCTCTTCTGTGACAATAATGTGATCCATTAAATTTAAAGGATCACATTTGTCTCCTTAATGGCTGTATTGTATTTCTGATTCATAGCCATTCTGTGATAAATTTGGGACTTTCTCTCTTCAGTCACTTCTAGATTGTATGAGACACTCTCATTACTAGTCCTATCAGTCCAGACTTATCATTTGACACTTGTGCTGTTGAGTTTCTCGATACTTACGTTACAGTGGTCCTCCCGGTCCTCCAGCTCTTCTTGTGTATGTGCTCCCATTCCTCCTGTAAAAAAAAAAAAAAATCTTTGTCACTGACTGATTCCATCTGCAAAGTTAACAAAAATGGTTTTTACTGAAAAAATTATTTCCAAGATTGATGCCTGAATTCTGCATGTAATTTTCTAAAAGCCTTTATACTTAGTCCCTTAACCCAATTTAAATTTTTCTGTTATTTCTCCATCCAACTGAACCAGTAATTTCCTTGTTGTAGTTTATCTGGTAGATCTAACCTAT